TTTGGTATAGAATCGCTTTTTTAGTAAGTCATCTATATCTAGTGCATAAGATGCTTTTGCCTAGCTTAGTGACCTTTAATGGGATGTCACTGAAGAAATTTGTGAGCATCATGTGGACTGCTTAATGTCTAGGCATGTCTAAGTATCATAGCATATAAATAGCATATACATCACATAAGTTTTTGTTAAAGACTGAGATCTGATTCTAAAATAAAAACTCTATCACCATAAACAATCCCTTTTTACATTTTGGAAGATGTGTACATCTAAAGGCATGAATACATTTAACACACCATGAGATTGATAGCTATCAATAGTCATAGCCATATGAAAACTTTTGTTTCTTAATTTAGAGTTGTACCACAGCATCTTTAAATCAGAACACTTTACTATGTCTAGAAAATTTAACCTTTGGTAATGACTAATGTAAACATATCACAATAATACATTTTAATAACATTTATTGCGGTGTCTCCCATAAAGCTCTGGAGACCATTGGGGCCTCCTATTAATGAACAAAGGCTAGGATATGCTTTTTTTCCCCCAGTAAACAGGTTATTTATTTATCAAAGGAAGCCCTGACTAATAATTCCCCAAGCCTGAAGGATCTCTATACAGTTACCTTAACAATTTCTGATGACCTATGAGAAAGTCAATTTTGACATCATTTTAACCAGCTGGCAACCAGGTGGAAGCATGCTTTTTAAATCTATAAGCCAAATTAAATTGTAAGCAAATGATCCAAAAATGTAAAAGAAAAGAATTGTTGAGCTCAAATTAAAACAGTTGTTAACAGATTGGACAAACACACTGTTATAGTCAGGGGTTGTGCAGAGAACAATTAGAATCAGGACACAAAATTTATAGTATTATTTTATGATGGTCACCCAGAGCTTATCACAAGAAAGTGCAGGTAATGTATCCACAATACTAAAAACTTAGAATATTCAGCCAAGGACCTAGATCTCACAGCAATGTCCTGCATGATTCCAGATGAAAACTTAGAGGCCATGACAGTGCCTCCCAGGAGTCCAACTAGAGGTCTAGAGCCCACAGGAAGGATTCACACCAGTCTGTTTTATGGATCTGTGCTGGGAAGGCATAAAGGTCAGGGGAGGAAGCTAGAAAGTCTATGCCAGTGGGGTGAAGGAGCTGTGCTGATAGGCTGAGGGTTTTACACTGGAGCTAAGAAGTCACGCTCAAGATAAGAACCAGGGCTGGCCCGAAAAGTACCACATCCATCCTCAATGACAACAAGGTTCCGAGCTCCTCCGACAGTGAGAAGTCAGTTACATGCCAAAAAGCCAGCATGATGAGTTTCTCCTGGAGATTAAATGGCACACATCCTTCCCTCTGGAACCAGGAAGCGATGTAAGGACCAAAGTGAACCACAGCCACTCACCAACAAGGTCCCAAGCTCCTCCGATAACAATGGTCGAACTCACCCTGGGGAAGCTAGTCATGACAAGTTTTCCAGGAGAACCAATGGCTCAAACAGCAACATTTAGAGAAACCCACAACGCCTCACTCTTCTCCACATCTCTGTTTATGCTGACAACTTTCCTCAGGTGGAACATCTACACTCAGCACCATGCTGATTTAATCCAGCTAGTGTTAAGTTGACCACCAGTTTTCAATCCATAACACATACAAATAAACAAATACCCATATTCTGGTTACAAAATCAGAGTGCACTCAAATATATTTTGGCCAAATTGAATTATACTAACTCTTTTAGAAATGTGTAACTATAAATAATCCTAGTCAGAGTTTTTTTGTAGGTCAGTTAACAGAGATCTCTTACAAGAAGAACTTGGAAGGAATACAATATTTTATCTACAATTAATATATATTTTCTGTATTTTGTTTTGTCTTAAGAATACTGGCAATTTTTGTGTCCCCTTCTTTCATAGAGCTCCCAGCCCAATTTTCTCCATACACTCTGTCAGCTACTAAGACCTTCGATTCCCATTTTTGATTAACGTCTCCTGGGCATCCTGGGTCAATTTCTATAATTGACCTCAGGTTGGATCTAGCCCCATCCTTATCTACTGGTGATAGCACAGTCTCCAAGACATCACTGACAAGAGACTGAGCATCAGCTTCTTAAAGGGTGGAACCAACTCTTTATCTGGGTCTGGATCTACAATATAGCCAGACAACATGCTCTGATACCCAGATAGGCCACGCAACATCCTCTGTAAAGACACAGCGTACAATAGTACCAGGCTGGGTCCCTTCCATTGTCCAGCATGACGATCTTTCCAAAGGACGCTTCCTAGCTTCTTTCCCTTTACCTAATTTTCTGCTGCTATAGTCCCAACCCTAGTAGTATTTTAAAAGTTAATAATGTAAAGTGCCAAGTGAAGTCTATTATAAAATGTGAATTTTGTGAGGAAGGATTGCCCCTTTTGTTTTTACAATTGAATTTTGTGTATATGGTGAGCATGTTCAACAGTTCCTTCACCATGAAAGTTTCCATAGTAAGGGAAATATGAAAGGTTTTACAAAATGTTTGGAAAGCAGCATTCATTTAAGCTGGGCCATTGTTAGTCATAAGTGCCCAAGGATACCAAAAGCATTCAGGCAAGAGCAATGACATGTTTGGCTGTTTCCCCAGTGTGGAAAGAAGCAAAAATAAATCCTGAGGAAGTATCCACTGAACCATGGACCCAGCATAGAGAGCCAAACTCAGGAATGTGAGTGATATTCATTTGTTAGAGATCATTAGGGTAGAACCCTCGAGATTAACTCCCTAGGGAGTGAGGGAAGATATATTATGCATGAGGAACATTAACAATTTGCTGAGCCTATTGCTGGGTTAAAAGGAGCTGTTTGCATTAGATAGGAGCATTTTGACAGAAAGTGGCATGGGAGGCAGAAGCCTGTTAAACTGGATCTGAGGGAGTAACAGTGACAGTAGCCAGCAATCTGTTTATTACAGTGTTTCCCTGAGTGAGAGTTCACAGAAATTGAGAACAAGAACGTAAATGACCAGTAAAACAGGGGACATGATATGAATGAATTTGTAGACCATGAAATAGATAAAAGTTTGGAGACTATGAAATGAATAAAAGATCTTCTTGGCCAGGGTGTATAGTGGCATTTTCAGTGTGGTGCACCACACCACAAACACAAACACTATTTGAAAAGAGGTTAAAGGGAGTAGATGAATGACCTTGCAAAGCCCATATAACAATATACAATTCAGTCTTTTGTGCAGAAGAAAAACTGGTATCCTCAATTTGGAATAAAACAGCTATTACTTAACCTTTTCTGCCCAAAGTGGACCCCTCTGTGAAAACTATGGGAACAGAGTTTATTTTTGAAGGGAAGAGAAAAGATGTGATAGAAACAAATGCATTTACTTTTCTGGGCGATGACAATCAATACCAGGAAAGTTGGCCAATGTAGAGTGTCAAGAGGAAAAAAAATTGCCACAGCAAGGGCTGGGGATTTAGTTCAGTGGCATAAGCACCTGTCCTGCAAGCCTGTGGTCATGAGTTCAATCCCCAGTACCAATTAAAAAAAAAATTGCCACAGCTACTGTTGTTGAATAGTTTGAACCATAACTTTGAGCTCCCTGTACAATCAGCATCAATGATGCCAGGCAAAATTTGGAGACCTTGTAAACTGACACTGCTGTGGCCTAGAAGGAGTCACACTGTTCCTTGGGCAAAGGTTCATAGACTCCAGTAGGAACAGCTTGGGGCCCCATTTCAGGAGTTCATACAAACCCGGAGGAGGGACACAGATCCAAGCCTTTACTGTCTTTTGTTGCTTGCCAGAGGTCAGAAACATGCTTGGCAGTGGAGGGTAGGGTTGGGGGGGGGGGGCTAGGGAAAGCACCCCACTATTAGGCAGGGCCAGGGCAAGCCCCATTGGAAGTTTCCTGGGATAGGTCAGCTCTCCACAACAGTCTCTGATTACACTTCTTAGCCCAGGGATATTCTCATCTGCACTTTGGACAGATACTAGAAGGTTTCAGTGAAAGGACAGACAGTGTCTGTGCTGCCCCTACAGGTGCAACAGAGCAATTTTGGGCAAAATGCCCCCACCCTGCCCAACTGAACAAGCAACCTTGTTCTTTCTCTTTCCTTAGGCTGTGGACAATTAGTCAGGGACAATGGTTGCCAAGGCAGCCTTGTGGAACATACAAGGGGCCAATGTCTGCAAATTAGAATCATCTCAGATATTGTAGCTCATGTTTTGTGCACTTGGGAAGCTTCTTTACACAACTTCCTTGCATTTTGAAAGGTCAACTGTTGTAGCTTGCCAGCCTCTGTGTTGTTGATAATCCTCCCATAGCCTGCAATAAGCATGCCACAAAATCCTGAAAGGGCTCATCAGAACCCTGGTGAATGGAAGTCAAATCAAGGGATGTCTCATCCTTTGAAAGAAGTTCCCTCCAAGTCCTTGTGGCAATTATTTAATTTGTTCATACACTTGCAATTTAAAACTAAAGTGATTATTTGTGACAAAGTCACCTTCTCCAGTTAACATGTCTTTTGTAATGGCCACACTGTGAGTTGCACTGCAAGCAGCCTTATCCACACACAACTAAAAAAATTTTCCCTTCTACCATAACATAATCCCTGAGATTTACACATGCTTTAGCTATCCCTTTCCAGTCATTGGAGGCCATAACCTGTTGTCCTATGAGCTCTATAAAATGCAAAGTAAAAGGGGCTGTGGCCCCACTATCCTTTTTCTGACTGGGGTTTAGTTTAAGATAATGTTCTCAGTCAAATCCTCTGGGTCATCTCCGCAGGTGTGTGATTCTCAAGTCACTCCTGAGCCAGATCCACCAAAAAATGTAATTACAAGAATCAATAACACAGCAACGATTTCTAGACATATCTGTTGTTCTTGAGAACCTGTGTGCTCCATGTTTTGCGTGTGATGATGGGGTCAATATTGACAATATTGATGGGACCAATATCGATGATATCAATACACCTCTTTCCCTTTTGTGCACATAACTAGAGGTATTCTCTTACCTGCTAAATGATGAGTTTCCTCACACCTTGAATCCCTATTTAGGCATCAAAATGCCATGTCCGGCATGGCTCTTGAGAAATTGCCTAGGGAGGGACCATGAAAAAATGAAAACAAGAATCAAAATGCAGAAAACTGAGGTCAGGTGGAGCCTCCTCTCCTCATGGAAGAAAAAAGCCACCCAATAACTGCAGTACATTTATGTATGCACTCGGCAGGTTGATGTCAGGTGAGATCACCTAACAACTTGTTCACCTAGCTCACCTTGGGCGCCTTGTGTTCTGAGGCTGGAAAAACTTGTTCACATAACTGATGTTGGGCACGCTGTGTTCGTGGGCTGGCCTTGCTCTAGCTCCCGATGTGTGCTTGATCTTCACTTTCAGCCCCTCCCCACAATAAAAGCCAAGAGGGCTTGAAGCGAAGTTTTTAAGCCCTAAAAGAGAATAATTGCCAACACAAACTTCTATATCCTGCAAAACTGGCCTTCAAAATTCACAGAGAAATGAAAATAAAAACCTAAAGACAGGCATGCCCACTCAACCAACATTACAGAATATCATTAAGGGAATCTTAGTGATTGAAAAGCCACCAGCACTAACGAGCCAGAAAGAAAGTATACATCCAATTGAGGGATCAGTAAAAAAAATAAAGAAAGAAAGAAAAGGAGGGAGGAATCAGTGCTGGAAAAATAATGGAGTGGCAGGATTCAACAAATATATTACAATAATTCTCAGTGTCACGGCCTTACCTCCCCAGTCAAAAGACACAGACTGTCATGTTAGATAAAAAAAAAAAAATGAGACTGTATTTGCCGAGAGGAGACGTCTATCATCTAAAAAGAAGTACAGAGACTAAAAGAAGAAAAGTAGATTACAATACTCCATACTTCAGAAGAAAGAAAAAGAAACTCTCTTGTTTTCAGATGCAGAGAGCTTCAAGCCAAAACTGATCAGAAAAGCTAAAGATGGTCACCACACACTGGTAAAAGGAAGCAAATCAACAAGAAGTTATGGCAATTTAAAATATGCATATGCTGAATGCCAGTGTGCCTCATAAAACAAAAACTACCGGACATAAAAAAGACAGATAAACAATCACAGGGGAGGACTTCAATATCCCATGCGCACTAGTAGATCAACTAAAGAAAAAAATCAAAAAGGGAAATCAGAGTTGAGCCACACCATTAAACAATGGACTTAACAGGTATCTATAGAGTCTTCATCCAACAGCAAAGTACACATTTTTCTCAGCAGCACATAGAACTTTTTCCAAAGTAGACTGTGTGTTAGGATATAAAACATTCACAAGTAAATGCAAAAGATTTGAAATAATCCTTTGTACACTGTAGGTCATACTGGAATAACACTAGAAATCTTACAACTAAAGAGACCACAGAAACTACAAAAACACACGAAAGTTAAATAATACGTTACTGAATAATCAATGAAAACCAGAAGAAATCAAGAAAGAATTGAAAAGGTTCCCAGAATCCAATGACAATGGAAGCAACACATACCAAATCCTAGGGAGATGCATAGTGAATGCAGTCTTAAGAAACTTACAGCTATGACTGTACACATTAAATGATCCAGTGATCCAAATGAGTAATATAAAAATATATCTAATGTTCCAGAAAAATGTCAACAGTCTAAATCCAAAATGTGTACAATAAATGATAAAGATCAGAGCAAAAATTAATGAAATTGAGACAAAAACACAAAGGATCAGTGAATAAGAGCCAACCCTCTAGCTCATGTCTCTCACTGTATACGCTAATAAAATCAAAATGGATCAAAGAGCCAAATGTTAAAACAAACACTAAATCTGCCAGAAGATAGAGACCTGGGGTAGGCAAACACTTTACACACCAAACCCTAATCACAGAGAAAATATTACAAAGAATCAACAACTGGGATCTCTGCAGCTCTCTGATGCAGTGAACCACATTATAACAAATTTACTGCTCACCTAACAAGGTACCTTTTCCTAAGAACAGTTGGAATCTTTCCTAAGAACAGTTGAGAAACTTCACTGTGCTTTTGATGATGATTTTCACTTTTATACTAGTGTATTATTTTAAGGTATTCTACGTTGTAGGAACTTCCTTTACTTTTATTTTATTTCATGCTCTATTTTCATCCTGTATTAGTCAGCTTCCCAATCCTGGGACAAAACACCTGATATACACAAGGTACAGGAGAAAAGGTTTACTTTGGCTCACAGCTTCAGAGATTTAATCCGTAGTTGGCTTTCCTAATCCTCTAGGGATCAAATCTATTGGGTTACCAATCAAAATGAACCATCACACAGCACTTGGTATGACAGATTGGAATTTTAACTCCTGTGACTCTGAAGGGGTATTTATTCAGGTCCATTTCATGCAATATTATTGAATGCTTGACAGCAAACAATTTTGTGGTAGAAATACTTGAGAAACATTTAGTTAGACAAAATAAAACATTTTCTTTCTTGCTATAGAATATGTTCAAATCAGCCATTCTATGACTTGATAAGCAAAGCAAAAATTTTCACAACTTTGATCTCAAAAATTGCTTGAGCATTATTAAATTTAAACATAATATTCAAGTACAATATATAATGTATCATTATATATAATAATATATATAGCAGAGTATATTAAGCAGGTATATTAAGAAATTTAGTGCAAAGTTTTTATTATAATGGTTTACCTTTATGTGTTTAATACAGTATAAAGTCTATTTTAAATAAGATACTTTTACATAATGAACATGTAGCATAGTATGTTGTTTATACATAGGTAACCCAGAAATTAGAATTGCTATAAATATTATATGGTATATTTTAATTATATGTATACAGAATTGTTCATGATACTAAATTTCAGTAATATAAAAAACAGTGCTATATTCTGTAGGTGTAATATATAATAGGTCTGAGATAATGCTTGCTGAATAAGTCAAGTTAAGGTCAAAGCATATAATTTTAAAATTTAAATTTTTCTCATTGGTTTAATGTCGCTCTTTCAGCTTTGCAGATTTGCAGAACTCGTAAATATAAACCTTAATGAAATCAGCACAAAGTTAATTCCTTTTCCTCAACTTCATTATCTTGTGTCAAGCCCAGCACCTCTGTGTACACTGACAGATGTTAACATTCCTCTCCAAAGGCAAGACACAGGGCTGGGGATTTAGCTCAGTGGCATAAGCACCTACCTAACAAGCCTAAGGTTGTGAGTTTGATCCCCAGTATCACAAAAAAAAAAAAAAAAAAAGCAAGTTGTAACTGACCTCTAATTTCCTAAGTTACTTGATGTAATTTTTTAATGTTTACAGTAATTTGAGACATTAGTAGCATTTTATTTGCAAGAATTATATAAAAATAGTTGACAGCACACTTTTTCATAGATGAAAGTTTTTTAGAATTATTAAAAATATCAGTATCAAGTTTTTGAAATTAAATTTCATGATTGAATTTTTAGGTTTTTTTCTTGTATTTAATCACTAAAGTAGTTAAACTGTAGACAAGATTTGAGAAACAATTTTAGGCTTTTTAAAATTAATAAAGATATAATTTCATTGAAAAATATGAAGTAATTTGAAGTCTGAAAGACTTAAATCTGAATCCCAATTCCATCCTTCAATTGCTACAGAATGTTGGGCAACTTTAAACTTTTTATCCTTGTTTTTCTAATCTATAAAAACAGAACTTACATATTTCTTGGGTGATAATAAGAGTATGTTCTAGAAATCTCATCACTACACACTATCCTAGAAAGTTTTCATATGGTAACTCTTGTAAAACACTTTGTTTTACAATTATGTGTGTCATTTGTAAATATAAAGTGCTCGAGAAAAGTTTGCACTTACAGTCACAGCTGGAAGGGCTAGAGGTTCTATTGATTATTCTAGGGAAAGAGAATGTAAATAAGAAAGTGAAAACTAAACTAAAGATAATTAAACTAAACTAAAGATAAAGTTTTGACAAGATAACAATTCTACACTGCAGAAATATTGCAAAGGTCCTGGGTCCATTGAAACGATGGAAAAGAAAACTTTTGGTTTTTAAAAGTTTTATATTTTTCACTTTTCCTTGGACATATTTTTATTGCTTTCAAAATCAAAATCTCAAGACAAGAGTCGCTAGGATGAAACAAGACCATGAGTGTTTCGAAACATCTTTGGTAAAGCTTTAGTAAAGCTCCGTAAACCTGCACAACTTTCTATCATTTGATCTGTTTTTGTATGTGTATGTGATATTAGAGGTTGAACCCAGGCTCTCAGACTGAGCCCCACCTCTTTTGATGTTTGCAATTTGTTTTGTTTTGCTTTGTTTTTAATTTTTAGACAAGATCTCACTAAGTTTCCCAGCCTGGCCTCCAATTTGGGATCCTCACCCTCCAAAGCATTGGGATTACAGACACACAACACCAGGTCCGGGTCCATCAGCCCCGTTTGAGAAAGCTTGCCCTCCACTAATAGCAGGAATTCCCTGGGCTACTAACATTCTTGCTGTGATCCTGTGTCTAATATCTTAAATTCTCCAGGTAAAGTATCAGGATTTCCAGCCCCTAATTGTCTACACACACCTACACGTCCCTGCCCAAATCAGCTATGAACTCAGATACTTGTACTTTCTAAATCACCAGGACACTTAACAGCTCAGTCCCTTTTGCTAACAAGAACCTCCATCGCTTCAAAAATCAGTAAATAAGTCACTGTATTCTAATCTCCTCATAAAAAAATACTAAGGCAATGGATTACCCAAACTAAATTAAACTTCCCTGTGGACTGTCACTTGAAACAGTTCAAAGCCACCATGGACCGACTCCCTGTTTAGAAAAAGCCAGAAATACATGGGATGCAAAAGGACAAAGTAAAGAAACGCTTATAAAATGCAAATGTGTGCACCAAAGTACTCCTTCAAACAAGGAACCAACTGAAAAAAAGTTGTTGCTAAAATGCACAATTCTGGGCCGGGATTTAGCTCAGTGGCATAAGCGCCTGCCTTGCAAGTGCATGGTCGTGAGTTTGATCCCTGGTACCAAAAAATAAAATGAAATAAAATTAAAAAAAAATAAAATCCACTGTTCTAGGGGCTCTTTTTCCTTTTTTTTTTTTTTACTTGTATGTGTTTGTGATACATAATAATTACATTGGTTTGAAGGAATTTTTATATCTATCCCTGGATCTCTGTATATTTTTCAAGTAACTGGAAAGTTGGGCTCCAGACTGGAGCCCACATAAGGGACAATTTTGCTCCACTGAGGCAGGCAGCACGGCCTTGTGCCAGAGAGGCTGTGCATGAAATCCAAATGTTTGGGGATAATACAAACACAGGAAAAGCAGGGTTCTGTGCTTTCACCTGACATGTTCTGCACTCCTCTCTGAAGCTAAGGAACTCAAGCAGAACTTTCTCGGAGAACAAAATGGCTCCCTGTTCTCAAGCAGTGTTTCCACAAGAAAGTTTCTCCCCATCATCTTCCTTTCCTCTTTTGGCCTGAAGATCAAGGGCAGCTAAAACCTCTGGAAGGGAAGGAGGAAGGGGCGCTCACCTGTGCCAGCTCTGCACAGAGGAGAGTGTAGAGGAGGAAGCCCCGCATGTCGCCTGGAAGCCTGAAGCCTGGCCCACTGTGCAGAAGAGAAGTGGGCGCTGCTCTGGACTCGGGTGCACAAAGCTCCCCTGTCTCCACTCCCAGGCCGCCGACTTGCAGGCTGTCCTGTGTCCCTGCTTACTCTGCTGTGAGCCTTCCAGAAATAACCTGCCAGTGAGCATGCGGTGTGTCAGGGAAGGAGGCCAGGGCCTTCCTGCAGAACTGCAGGGTGGATGGAGCTGGAGCCTTTCCTGAGTCAACTGCTCAGGTCCTGGAGGGCAGAGGCTGCCCTTGGGCAAAAGGGAGAAACCTCATACCCTTCCCTTCCCTGTCCCCTGCCTCTCTCTGTGATTTTCCTCTTCCAGCTCCTCTCTGGGCTTTCTTTCCCTTGACCCTTGGCAGAGGTGGCCTGGCAAGACCTGTACCTGCAGGAGAAAAATTAACCTGCTCAGCAAAAGAAGCAGGTGGCAGGTGTCAACCAAAAATTAATGAAAGATTCGAGCTAAATTGTTTCCAACAGGATGCCTTTCGTGATTCTCTTTTAAAAACTCTGTAACTTTCCAATTCAGTGCCACTTGTTTGCACTCTAAAATGGGGGTGTCTGTGTACAAGTGGTCCTCAGCTCAGTTAATTAAACTCCAAATTTATCAGTTTGGCTGCTTGGACTCCTGTATTGTTGTTCATGAACCCACCTCATTCTCCCCCTCATTGTCATCTCCAGACATCGGGACACCAGGCCTCCCCTCCTGAGTGGTCATGTGTGACTTTACCTTATCCCATTTTCCTTTTTTTTTGTTTATATATTTATGTATTGATTTTGCAGCACTAGAGATTTAACCCAGGGCCTTTAGACTAAGCTCCAGCCCTTCCAGCCTTAGAGATGCAGTCTCAGGAAATCACTGTTTCCCAGGCTGCGCTCAGATTTGTGGCCTTCTGGGGTTATCAGTGTGCAGCACCGTGCTTAGCTGCTCATCCCACTTCTAAACCTGGGCTTTTGTCACCTTCATTTACTTGCCTCTGTGATGGAGCTCTGCCTTCCTGGGAAGCCAGTGTGAGGTTCACCTTACTGCACCATCGCGGGGCCTATTTCTCCTCCCACAGGCTCACTGCTGTCCAACTACATCCTGTCACCTGACTCTGGGGCTCACTGCTCACCTCCTTGACACAAAGGCAGACACAGCTGCATACAGACAGAAGAAGTCAGGCCTCGCTCGGGTCTGAGCTGAAGAGTTAGAAAAATTAGGCTCCTCTCCAAACACGGGAAGGAAACATCCCTGGAGAACCAGGGATTATGTCATAAAAATGACAGCCATACACAGCGTGCTACTAGCAAGCTAAGGACAATTACATACACAACAGATACCAAGAGACAATAGTCAGGGAGGCTATAGTATCAACACATTATCCTGCCCCCTAAAAAAATAAGAAAAAGCCCAAGAGTGGCTTAGTGTAGGAAAATGTGACTGTTTTTGGTTCAGTCTGCTGTTTCCCTTCTTATCCTCCTGGCATAGGACCATGTGCCTTTGAGTTCCCAACCTTAGAAATGCATGGCCCACAATAACCATCAAATGGACTGTCCCTTGTTTCCCAGCTCTTCTACCAAAGGCAAAGGAATGATAGCCTAGGTCTCCTGTTCTAATGCATTAGTCAGATTTCTGTTACCAAAACAAATATCTGAGACAATCGCCTTCTAAAGAGGAAATGGTTATTTTGGAACACATTATGGAGGTTGCAGACCATGGTTGGTTGGTCAGATGTTTTTAGGCCTATGGCAGGGCAGCACATCACGGTGGGAGCACACTGTAGAAAACACTGCTCACTTCAAGCAGTCAGCAAACCAAAAAAGGAAGGTGCCCTGTCCCAGGGTGCTCTTCAAGGGCACACAGCCAATGGCCTCCCTTCCTTACACGAGGCCCCGCCTCTTAAAGGTTCCACGGCCTCTCAATAGGGCTCAGGAAAAGGGGCAAACTGGGATAACATGGCCTTCAGCCACCTCCTCCAACTCTCTGTCCCAGAGAAGATGCTGCATATATATCTGTGCAATATCTAGGCTTAAGGAGCTTCACATTCCTCCCGTTTGCTCCCTGTGAAGTGCTGGTGGCAGCAGCCATTTCTCTGGAAGTGCCTTCCCTCCATCTGCAGTCCCACTGCTGGTGAGCAGACATCCAGTGGCCGTCTCTGCCTCTCAGTGGGAAAGGAATGCCTTCGTGGGAGCTTACTTGTGAAAACCCTTCCGATGGTCAGGATCCACGGGCTCTGGCTTCCTTACCACTGCATTATATGTTTAGTCTTCTCTAGGCCTGCAACTCCTATTTATGGATTTGAGAACTCCAAGCCTCACAGCACGAAATGAACGGGACATTTTAAGAAGTTGGGACTGCTGTCTGTGACTTTACACACTAAGACCTTTCACACTGTGGGTGTTTTTCTAACCACCATCCTCTACTGTCTCGCGTAACAATATTCCTGTCTAAGCCCACATTTCACACGTACTCTGTGGTGCATGTTCAGACAGGCACAGCACTAAGCATAACTGTTCTTTGCACCACATTTTATAATTTACAATGAAATTTCCCATGTATTTTCTTTTTCTAATTTCACAGCTCAGTGAGTTAGGAAAAGGCAGTGTTAGCATTCTCACTTAACAGATTGAAAAGTTAAAGTTAAGTCATTGGACTTGGTCAATAAAACACACTTAATCTCCGCCCTCTAGTGCTATGTCACCTACTGGGAGAGCCGACCTTGAATAAATACACACACAAATACCCATCATTAAAAATTGAATAAAGGCTAATAGTAGAGAGCAAAAACCTATAAGAGAGAATGCTGGGTGAGACCAAAATTTAGACCAAATTTAGACTGGGGACCTAGGGACATCTCCAACCAAATGAGCCTTCAGAAGTTGAGAGGGGAAACCAGTTAAGGAGAGGAGAGAGGACACCTGGCCCAGGGCTGCTTCACCGGCAAGACACACACCTCTAGTGGTGCCAGGCTCCATCAGCAGAGAGCACTGCGTCCTTCCGAGCAGATTCCTAAAACCACGTGTCAGGAACATCATCCCCACTAGAATAGTCCCTTCTTCCGTGAGCATCACCAGCTGGGCAGGCAAAGGTCAGGGCTCACAGCTTCGGCCAGCAAGCTTCACACAGGAGAGTCTTCCTTTCCTTAACCATTTCCCAATCTCACTGGTTGTGGAGAGGGAGCCATAAAAAACAACAGCCATTGCCCGTGTGGCAGTGCTAAAAGAGAATCACTTTGCACACAGTGGAAGTAGAGGTTTAGCAAAGTAATGGCTATCATCTAATCAGTTCTCACTGTATCTCAAAGTGATATTCAGTGCTGTGTGAGGATCATATACGATCAACCTCAGAGTTGGACACGGGCCATTACTATTTTCATTTATGTATGAGGAAATGGGCAGGTGATACCCACAAAAGAGGCACAGCCAAGATTCCAAGCATTGCATCACCCAGCTCTGCTGCCTCTCTGTATGTGATGGGGAGCAGGATGATTTATTGAACTCTTAGTGTTTTCCATCCACCTGCTTCCTCCTTGGGTCTCACAAAGTTAGTGAGGTCCTTTCCCACCAGCCTATCCTGGAATGTTTCACGCTGCCCGTTCAGCCTCTGTCTTGTGCTCACTGGACATGAAGTGGGGAGGGATGAGCAGGAGGAACAGGAGTGACCCTAATGGACTGGACAGGACAAGTGGCTCAGGCCCCTCAGCGCAGTGCAGGGAGGTCCCTGGAGCAGAGAGAGGTGACTGGAGGCCTCACGGCAATGATCCCTGAAGAAGCCTGGGGACGCGATGCCTACACTGTTGGTGCCCTCTTGGACAACCGTGTACTTGCAGAGACCTAACATCAGAGGCCTGACCTCTTGTCCAGGCGCTTCCTGGGCCTCCTGGATTGTTGCTCATCACCCACAGTGCCTCTGAAGAAAACCACTGCACTCCTGGCAGCCCCTGCAATTAGGTCTCTGTTATCCAGCAATTCTCTGGGCAACCCCCTTGCAGTCAGAAGGCCCCTGTTCCCATCATGGCTTTTGCGAACTTCTGACAGGGTCCTCCAGCTCTCCCTGCCTCCATGCAGCCTTCCCGATTCCTCCAGTCCATCTTCCTCTCTGCTACCCACTTGTCTTTTGTAAACCCGGGTCGGTGGCGTCACTCTCCTCCCCAATACCTTTTCTGACTCAACCTCACCTTCAGGACAAACGCCACCTGCTGAGCAGGCAGCCAGCCAGGAGCTCTTCCCTGACACTGATGAATGGAGAGCCCCGCCTCTGCTGGGGTGCTGGGGTGCACCCCGCCCGCTCTATCCGGGGAGCCCTTCCTGGAGGTTCCTTCTCTCCAAGGGATCCTTCCTCACAGGCCTGGATCACAGCGCCTCACCCAGGTCCTGCACCCCCGCAGCGCCCCGCAAACCTGCACTGCAGTGATCCGTGTGCGCAGGGGCGCACAGCTTTGGCCGTGGACACGGTGACGCCCGTCAGGACGCCGCCCAGAGGACGCAGCACCCACGCGGCACCCTCGCACTAAAAGCTATTTCCTGTCTTTACAGTCGGATTCAGCGGCCCTGGGGTCCGCGGATTTTCCCGATGGGGCTGGGTCAGGGGCAGCCTGAGACTGCTCTTCAGGCCTTTGTACCCACAAAACGCCACGCGGGGGCGCTTGCACCTAACCCTTCCCCTACTGCCCCCCCGGCGCCCGCCCGTCCCCGTCCTCCCCGCGACTGACAGGCAAATCCCCATCGTCCCCTTTCCCTTTCCGGGGAGGCCTCTGCTCCGGGGCTGCTGCGCACTGCGCGTTCTCCACGCAATCGCGATCCCCCCCCCCCCCCGCTCCGACCTGCACTGCGCCCTGTGGACGCTGGGGGGCGCCAGGGGTCCCCAGCCTCGGGCCCGGCCGGCGCGGGTGCCCGGGGCGCAGAGGGGAGGCGTCCGCCGCTCAGCGTCTCTGGAGTCCGGGCGGGGCGCTCCGTGCACGGCTGCACCAGGGGGAGCTGCGCCACCTGGGGGACCGCGAGGCTGTGCAACAGGGGCGCAGGCGGGGTGGGGCGGCTCGTGGAGGGTTCCCGCTCGCAAACGTTCTTTCAGAAATAGATCAAAATACTGCAACATAAAATAGCTCGCGGCTACACGAGCAGCCCTCACCCCACCTGCAACCCCGCGGGGAGGGCGGTGGAGAGAGGAGGAGAGGAGAGGAAGGGGCGGGGGAGGGGCGGTGGCTAAGGGGGATGCGGCCTCGTGGGTCTGCAGCTCTGCCTCTCTTGACCAGCAGAGGGCGCGCGCCCAGCCGCTCAGAAGCAGGAGTGGCACAATGAATGGAATTAAGGGACGTTTTTTGTTATCAGGGAACTGAAACCTATTTACTCAGCAGTCTTTTAATTTGATCAAATTTGATTTTTAATTTGATTTTTTCTTTGCTTATATACACTTGGTGATGGAGCTCTATTGTCATCTTTCTTTACAAAGAATACGTGATGTATCTCCACGTAGTCTCATTTTGGCTTCCTTAGTTTAAAAAAAAGAGTATTTAAAGATAGTGTAAAGCATATTGACTCAAGTATTCTAGACATGTGCCACGTGTTAAAATGTCAAGAGGAGGCTGGGCGTGGTGGCGCATTGCTGTAATTCCAGCACCCGGGAGGTCGAGGGAGGCGGGATCGTTGCAAGTTCAAGACCAGCCTGGACTACAGAGTGAGCCCTAGGCCAGCCTGAACCAGATAGCGAGATCTTGTCTCAGAAAGGACGCCCCCAAAAAACAAATGTCAGGAGGAAACCTATTTGCACAGTTAATCTGTGCTGATATATATAATTTTAAAAAGAATTCAGGAAGCTTACAAGCATCAGTTTTTAAGCAGTTTTCTGCAACTGAGCCTTTTCAAAGCATTATATTTAGGTCCACCAAAAGAATGTCCATCTTTCTCTGTGCACCTGTGTTTCACTAGTTTTAGTAATATTTGCTCAAATCTTGTCGTTGTGAGAATGTAATCAATGTGAATGAGCAGATCAGGACCAGCTTGCTGCCCCTCCAGCTCGTAGGTTCTGGGCCTCAGAGTATTGGCTTCACAGAGAATGCAGTCAGTCTGAACCACAGGCCACATGGAAGACAAGGAGTGCTTTTGCTTGAGTTTAAAAAAGCGATAGTCATTTTTTAAAAGACCAATGTAAAAATATACTGACCTACCATTTTGCCTAATGCACATGTAATATATTTGAATCAACCACACAAATTCTACCCTACAGACATGCAGAATAAATGTAAAATCACTTTTAGACCCAGTGGGACTATCAGTTGATGAGACTGTGGCATGAAAGACTCCCCAGAATGAGCCTTCTATCAAAATTTCAGAGTGTGGAAAACTACTCTTCAAACATAGATGCTGAGGCTGGAGTTCGCCTGTGCCACAGACATGGCTCTTACTTGCCACTCAGGTGTCACATCCAAACTTAGTATATCAAACTTCAATGAGGAAGAATTTTAGTTCTTAAGATCAGGAGCACAGGAAGCATGTTTTCAGAATCCTTTAAATCAAGTGACATGTGACCCCAAGTTCCCCTTCCATTGAACCGAGGGGCAGTTGAATCGTCATCATGATTGTCATCACCTCTACCCTGGTTTGGATCAGGCTTCTAAGTTCTGCAACCCATAGCCAGGCAGTTCCAGCCTGAAAATGTTGTGATTCTGTACCAGTTTTAGGGCATGAGAAGCACTGGTTCACCAGAAGGTCCTGAAGCTAAGGTCCAGTCTCCCTAAGGTCCAATCACACCTAGGGATGTCTCACTGCCTTCCCAGCAGACCGCCAAGGAGAGCTGCCACTCTCACAAGGCCTCTCCCCGATCTTGGGGAGCAATGGGAATCTCTCCCTCATCATCTAGCTGCTCCAAAAGCATGCCTCTTTCCCTCCCACAATAACAACTGTAAACTCCTTTGAACAGCATCATGACCCATCCATCCCCAGTAGAACCAAGAGAGGCAGACGCAGCATTTGTTTATTGTCTCTGCTTGAGAATAAGTTGTGCTCTCATGGGGATAAAATAATGTGAAAGATTTAAAGCAATCTCAAAATAAAAATAAAGATTATTTTTTAAAGGCTGGGGATATAGCTCAGTGCAAAGCCCCTAGGTTCAATCCCTAGTACTAAAAAAAGGAGCAGGGGTGGGGGAGAGATACAAAAACACTTCCCACCATTGAGACCATGGGAGCTCTGCTTTGGGGATTTCAAAACACTTCCATATCTAAACATTAGATTTAGTTAGCCAGCATTTCCAGCCTGTACATTCCTTCAGTCCCACTTCTAATTAAGTATGTTCATAAAATTTCCAGTACCAGCAACAAATGTTCCCCCAGCCTAAGAAATTTCCATCACAGTTGTAAGTACTAAGCCAGCAAATAACTCCTTTTATGTGATGTAAATATTGATTTTGAGAAAACAAATATGGGAGTTGGTTAGGAAACTATCAACAAGAAGCACAATGGTGAGGGGGAAAAGCTGGGACCCATAAATCCCCTGAGAGGAGTCATTTCAGGCCATTGAGTCACATCCGCTGGACAGCTCATGACCGTGGACAGTTCACACCATTGTCGGAGCCCTGAGTAGCAGCCCTGTTCGGTGACATGTTCTGCAGTGATAGAAGTGGTCTGTATTATAAAAGTGTATTGTACTGTTGATCACTTGAAATATGACCAGTGTGAACTGAAAGTTTAATTCACTGTAAATAGTCTCATATTGTTACTGGCTACCATGTTGGACAATAGATAAACTCTGTAACTGTCCTTTTCTAAGCTGTGTTTTATACATCACCCATTCACACGAATATTCTACAGCAGCTTGTGAAAGAGGACAGAGAAATAGATGCTCCCAGACAATATGAGTTAGCCATTATCTTTGAAAATTAAATTGCTAGAAAGTGCCAGAAAAAAGGAAAAGTCACACAGAAGGAAAAGGTCAAATTTGTGGAGAACAACTGTCTGGCCGGGAAACCTCATCCTGAAAATGGTCCTCCTGCCTCTGATGCTGCATCCCTCACCTGTCTCCTCTGCTTGGGATGGCAGGGCCACTTGGTGCGATAGCCCTGGCCCCAAAGCCACACTGGCCAACCGTAGTTCTTTCGCTGAGAAACTGGTTTTTCTACGCAGAAAAGAGTATTCTCTGTCCTGGGGTGATGGATGAGATGGGAAACGTGGAACCCAGAGGACAGAATGCTGAGGACGGTGGTCTGCACGGAGACCGGAGATTGCGATGTGGGGAGGGTCCCAGGATGGGTTCCAGATTCGAGTCAGTTCTGTTAGTCACCAGTGACATGACATTTGGCTCCTGCCTTCATCACTTTAGGCTTTCTCCTCTGTAAATGGAACCATTTTAGTTCAGGTTTCACAACATTGTGAAGAAACGCAAAGGATTCAAGCAAAAAGCAGAATTCCGAGAACATAGGAAGTGCTCCACAAATATTAGCTAAAATAATATTAGAGATGGAGTCGTAAGGCAATCAATCTTCTGGATTTGTGTCATTCGGTTCCATTTCATTCTACTATTCTATGTTATTTCTCTATTGATGAAATAACTTAATACAGAGCTCTTCCTGGAAACTTTTCATTCTGCAGTTTACCCGTTATGTGTTCTTTGAGATAGTCCCCAGCATAAAAACCATGGCCTCGTACTTTTCCTAGAGAGCGGTAACTCATGTCTGTTGTAACGATCAGTAAGGCAGCTGATTAACCAGTGCCTGCATCAGCAGTAAAAAAATCAGGGCAAGCAGTAGCGGCCGTGGGCACGGTTCTCAGGCACGCGTTGCCTGCAGTGGACACCACCGCCTGAGCCTGGTATTGGAGAAGGGAAATACAGTGCTGCTGACTGGGCACATCTGATCACAAACGCATGAGGCCGTGGGTCTGTCATTCATCTAAATTCCACCTTTCCACGAAGGTAACAATCACGCCAGGCAGGAGACAGCCTAGAGCTGAACAAGGTCCTGGATGGGACAAGGTGTGCTTCTTGTTTGATGGTGGCAGGAACTCAAGAAGGAGTTGGCCTCTCACGTTTGCAGAGGTGCAGGTGCTGCTTGGCCCCCTCTCCACCCAGCCAGCTGCGCTCCCCCATGGGACCCCTGGAATGACGAAGGACACCAGGCACAGATGCTGAGGATGACTTGCCTAACCCCTCAGCGCCTCCATTTCTGATCCCCCACCCTATGCTTTCTGTAACCCAAAGCAAAGTCAGGAAAGAACCATTTCTGACACTGTTGTTTTGTTTTGTTGCTTACTATCAGGGGACTAGAACTAATCTTCACCAGGTGGGAATCCCAAGCTGAGATTATGATGACCTGAACATTGAAAACTCAATTGAGGGGACCCTGCACACTCTAAGAGATACGCAGCCATCTTCTGGGACAGCAGAACTGAAGCACAGAGCCAGGGCGGCTGCTGCCCAGGACCAGCAGGCTTTGCTGTGAAGTTCATTAAGAAGCAGTCACTGAGGTGGGCAAGCGAGTCGGCAGAGGCAAAGTCGAGGGGAGCTGCTTTGCACAGAAAACCCCGCTCTGTGCTTTTCACCCAGCAGTGCTCCCAGCATTCAGTGAGCACCAGGGCTAGAGGTGGGCACAGCCTGGCATTCTGTACTTCTCCTCGCTCCTGGTGTGCCCGTGCTGGTGGTTCACCCACCCCGCCTTGTGTGGGAGGCCCAGGCTCCACAGT